TAGTCTTTTTTTTTGGAGTTTTGGTCTGTTCTCTCATTTGGGCTATATTTCTTTGTCTTGGCACACCTGTTATGTTGTGCCAAGGGCAGAGCCTTATGTATTCACCAGTGCAGGGCAACTCACATTCCTGCATTGTGGTGCAATCTGGATGAATGTTTCTTCTTTAACTACCTGGTTGTTGGACTTCCATACAGTTCGATTTTCTGGCAGTTCTGGTTGTTTTTTGTTTTTAAATTTGTTGTCCTCCTTTTGGTTGTGTAAGGAGGCAAAGTGTATCTACCTATGCCTCCATCTTGGCTGGAAGTCCCTAAATTTTATTTTTAAAAGAACAATGTTCTATGAAATGCAATACAAAATTCAATAATATTTGGGTTGTCATTTTTGTCATACACTGTAGAATGTGATAACAACTGTCCTTTTTTATGAAATTCAGAATTGCTAAAAATTATTTATATCCCTTAATTTATTCAAATATCTCTTGAAAAAATCTTTGGACAATTGTTTTTGTGAGTATTTGTTTGTTTTGAACCCCAGTTACAGCTGATTTCCATAAGGCAGGACATTGATCAGAGAAAGCTTGTCTGAGGAAGGGTCATTTACCAGGATAAGGAGGAGCTAGCTATGTGAAGGAGCACTCCAGGCATAAGAAAAAGCAAGTAAAAAAAGTCCCAAGTTTAGGGAAAGCTTGTCATATCCTAGGAATGATATAAACAGCATGACAGGAGATAAAAAAATAAATATTTTTAATTTTTCCTCTCCCTCGACATCTGTTGTCCACCCACCCCGTCCCAAGACGGCTGGCTCCTAAGGATGGCATCAGTGGTTCCCTTGTCCTCTGGTTCCTGGTTGAGTTCAGCCACAGGATGGCACTGGTAGGAGATGAGAAGAAGGGAGGAGAATGGAGTCAGAATATTTATTTTCCTCTTTTTAGATTTTTTTAAATGTATTTTTTATTGTATTTTTTTTCCATTACCATTTGTTTGCCTTATACCTCCCTCCCCCCATACAATCACCAGACATCAAGCAAAAAGGAAAAATGACTCATGGACATGGACAACAGGAGATTTGTTGGGTTGGCCAAAAAGTTTGTTTGTTTTTTTTCCAACTGGCTCTAGTAGCACTTTGTTGTCTTTAACTTCATTCAAAACAGTTTTGTTAGATTGTATTGTAACAGCTATCATATCAGCATGCATTTTAAAAAAGCATTTTAAAAAATTCACCAAAATTGGTGAAGTTTTGTGTAACCATTTTAATATTGAAGATGGAAGAAAATATGCAACATTTTCAGCATATTATGCTTTATTATTTCAAGAAAGGTAAAAATGCAACTGAAAAGCAAAAAAAGTTTTGTGCAGTGTATAGAGAAGGTGCTGTGACTGATCATATGTGTCAAAAGTGGTTTGCAAAGTCTTGAGCTGGAGGTTTCTTGCTGGATGATGCTCCACAGTCAGGTAGACCAGCTGAAGTTGATAGTGATCAAATCGAGACATTAATTAAGAACAATCAACATTATACCACGTGGGAGAAAGCCAAAATACTCAAAATAGCCAAATCAATAAAGTTATTAGTGAAAATGAAAAATGTGTTTTTTATTATATAGAAAAAAACTACAGACTTTTTGGCCAACGCAATATTTTCTTGGCTGCATCCTTTACTGACACTGTCAGCGGCCCTCCCATACAGCTCTCAGGCCTTGGTTGGTAAAATCGCTCCCAGCTGTGACTAGGCACAGGGTGCTGCACCTTCCACGTGACTTTGCCCAAACTCCACCCTTACCTATGATCAGACGTAGTTTTAAAAGGTCGCTCTGGTTGTTTTAAAGCATGAACTGGAGAAATGAAGGTTTAGGGTAAGAGGAAGGGAAACATAGAGATTTGACAGTAACAGTTAAAACCAGGACTGACTTTTGAAATCTTAATGTATGAACACTGAGAAACACAGCATTCTGAGCTCCATTTATTCATTCCACTTTTTCAATCACTATTTGTGTGCCAGGCATCTTTATAGGCAGTTGGGAGAAATGGATAAATAAGTTATATACTTGAAAGGGATAAGTGGCAAGGAATAATAAAAGAGTAGAGCAAGGTAATAGGGTTGTGAGTGCAGGGGTGGTAGAAGTGGGTGCAATTTAAAATAATTCATCACTGAGAATGTGACATTCGAGCTAAAGCTTGGAAAAGGTGAGGGAGTGAGCCACGTGGAGACTATTACAGGCAGAGGAGGAGGTCATGGTAAAGGTGCCAACACAAGGGCATGTCTGACCATGTCAGGAGCAGCAGAGGCCAGTGCAGCTAGAGCTCAGGGGCCTGGGGCTGAGTGGGAGGAAATAAGGTCAGAGAGGCTGCAGGTGCCATTAGCAGGCAGGGCCTCTCTTGGAGATTTGTTTTTGAAAGAGGCAGCAGAGAAGAGGTAACTGCTCCCCCTCCTCTCTACCCAGCCCCGTGGGTCAACATGCCCTCCACTTCGGGGAGAGGTGAGCACTCCCCCACAGCCTGCTTCTGTCCACTGCTCATGACTGACAAGAGGGGAAATTCAGTGATCACTCTTAGTTCTCAAAATGCATTAGTCCTGTCTAATTGTGTCTATGCAGTGTCTAGCAAAGAATGCTGGCCTAATTCTGCAATGTCTGTAAAATATTGGCATCCTGGGAGAAGAAAATGAAATTGCACCATTAACCCTGCAGGGGCATGGCAGCTAAGTCACTCAGGGTCCCCATGGCAGCAGCATGCCTACCAGGGTGGCTGGAGGACAGGCTTTGGAGCCCCAGAGCAAAGATACTGATTTTCTGTTCCACTGAGGAAGATATTTATTTGCATTTTCAGAATGTCTTTCGGAGCAAAAAAGAAAAACAATCTCTCTTATTACTCTCTCCACTTGTGAGCAGTGAATTTAAAAGAAAAAAAATTAAGCTTTTTATTATGACAAATTTCAATTACATACAGAATTTGAGAGGATAATTTATAGAATTTCTGAGGACTCATTGCCCGGTTTCAATAATTATCAACTAATGGGCAATTCTACTTTTCTATTTATCTAACTATATGTATTTTTCTGGGGCATTTTAAGGCATTTTCCAGGCATCAATATGTGTTGAGCACTTGCTTTATGTCAGACACTATTCTAGATGCTCAAAGTACAGCAATAAAAAAAAAGTATATACACAAAAACTCCTGTCCACAAAAATCTCACAATCTAACCTAACTGCAATGGCCTGTGACAGAGACGGTGACAGCAGCAGCAACAGTGACAGCAGTATCAGAGCAGGCAAATAAAAGTGGGTCAATCAGGAGCACCTGTGGCCTAACATAAGCTGTTAATATTTAACCATGATATGAATAAAACGAGGATATAGAGTTGGTGAAAAAAGTCACACAATGTAGCTGGGGGGAAAGATAAAAATAAAATCAATTTTTGGTATGTGAATGGTATGGTATGTTAGGTGATAAGTGCGATGGAGAAATAAATATAAGGCAGGGGAGAGGAGGGAGAAGCAGGGGCAGGGGTTACGACTTTAAATAAGGGGGTCAGGGTGTATGTGCTGAACTTTGGGATGCACTGCTCAGATCTCACTTCAGGACAGAAGAACATATTCCCCCAGCTGCTGAAAAGAACTACTGCATCCAGGTTATAACTCCTTGCTGGGAAGGCCTACATCCAATGACAGATCTATGCAAGAGTAAATGCTTATGCCTCTAGCTTCAACTCAGAACAGATTGGCTGAAGCTTCCATTGAAACTATTTTGCAGCTTAACTTCCCCCTCTGCTAAATCCTGCATCTTTCCCAGTCTTTCCCTTCCGTAGTTGTTTATTCAAGAGCATACCCTAATAAACTCCCTGCATGCTCATCTCCACTTCAGGGTCCGCTTCCCAGGAAACGCAACCCAAGACAGTAGGTCTTCCTAAAAATGCAGCTTCTTAGGGAAGATATGTATGTAAAGGACTAAGCCCTGGTAATAAGGTATTTCGTGGAGAGTCACACTGGCAGAGTGGTTGAGAGACCTTTAAGGAGCTGGCAGCTCCTGGCACTGCAAGACTGTCACGATCCTCCACTGTGTGAGAGCCATAATAATCTCAGCATTTGAAGACCAAAGGTAGACAGGCAATCCTCTGTCACTTCATTGATTTAAGCAAATGGATTTCCAGATACTGTAAGAAGGGGTGAGAAATGAAAGATGGGTAAGACAAGAACATTTTCCTGAAGGAGTTCACAGTTTAGAGGGATTGATAGCTAGATATGAAAGCAGTTAATTACAATCAGACAAATGATTTTATGGATATATGCACAAAATATTTTTTTTAGTAAAAAAAACCCACACACACCAAAAGTACATATACCAAAAGTTAGCAGTGGTTATTTCTATCAGATTATTTTTTTCCCTTTTTGCTCACCTGTATTTTCAGAATTTTTCCTTTGATGTATATATATTTTTTGAAATAAGAAGAAAAGAAGCATGTACAAAAAGCACAGTGGGATACATGCTCTATTGGAAGTGTGCGCAGTATTCTGAGGAAGCAACTAAATTGTCTGGGGAAGTCAAAGAAAACCTGGCAACATCTACCTTTCCAGTCTTACATACCTATGTGCCTCTCACATGCCAACCAAATGCAATGCACGGCCTCCTTTGGATTCTGGTCCAAAAAAACCAACTGTAAAAATATTTATAATGCAAGTGGGGAAATGTAAACTCTGACTGGATATTTGATGATACTAAGGTAGTATTATTATTATGAAGTATGATAAAGGTATTACAGCAATGTTGGAAAAAAAGAATCCTTATCTTTTAGGTAAACATGCTAACATACTTATGGATGAAGTGATATGAAGTCTGGGATTTTTATGGGTAAATAATCCATTGGGGGTGCAAAGTGGTTGGAAATACAAAATAAAAAGAATGGTCATGAGTTATGATTATTGAAGTTGGGTAACAAATTCATGGAGGTCCATTTCAATATATTCTCTACTTTGTGTTTGAATTTTTTTAATAATAAAATATGCAATAGTACTCATTTCAGCAGCACATATACTAAAATTGGAATAATACAGAGAAGATTAGCATGGCCCCTGGGCAAGGGTGACTTGCAAGTTTGTGAAGTCCATACTTTTAAAGAATATGCAATAATAACTAATGTATCAATATTTTCCATAATAAATGAAAACATCTTTCAAATATATCTTCAAATTTCAGCTCAAAAGGCATCTTCACTAATGAATGAGCAAACGACAATCAATCCATGAGCATGCTGATGCCTACGCACGCAGCATTCAGTTCACTGGGCATGTGTGTTGTCTATTTTATGATCACCTGATCTGTGTCAGTGACTCTTGTCTTACAATTACGACATATATTTTTATGTCATTCAACATTCACAGTGTGCTTACACACAATAATCAAATATTTTAATCTTTTTATTATTAAGAATAAAGGTATTTTTTCCTTGAAAACTTTGCTGACCAAAGTTTTCATTTCATTTTTACATACAACCTGAACTCTGCACATACAACAGGGACCCCAAAGCACACACTTGTGCTTACTCGTTCACTTATATTTAAATGAGATAAATGTGTAGCACATGAAACCTACTTAGTAAATAGTTGTGGTGGTTGTTGTTATTGTTGTTAAAATCACAGTCCATTCTTTCTATTACACTATAAGACCAGTGATCATAACTTAGTTGTCTTTATATACTTAGAAATTATCTCAATACCTGGTACATTTCAATAAACATCTGTTACATGAATGAATGAATAAATAAAACTTAGGATTACTCCATTGATAAACCAATACTAAATTCAGCAAAACATGCATAAGACTGAGAAATGTAAACTAATGCATACTTACAATTGACTCAGTGCTCCACAGCTCATTTGATAAGAAACATAAAATATTCTTAGCATTTAGTGTCCATTTAACATAGTCAATTTCAGTCCAAATGGCAGAGAAAAGTCAAATACCTTTTTTATTGTTGGCAAGCAATGCAATGTCCTCAACAACCAGCCTTATTTTATCTCTTTCCGTCCTGAGCTTCTCCCAACTTCAAACACATATTGAGGGGACAATTGAGTCAGCAACAGCACAAAGGATGGAGCAAGGTTAGTGACAGTCTCAGATTCAGTGAATGGCTACTTCACATAATATTTGGTAATGTTTCTTAAAAGCTGAAATCATTTCATGACATTTCTTTAGTCTGTGTCAAAATATTCCTCGCATTAAAATTACTTGATCTAAATGTGTATCCATTCAATCTCCACAATAACATTGTGAGGTAAATGGAGCCTACTATCTCTGTTTTAAAGAAGAGGATACAAGAAATTTACTCTTATCTCAGCTGGGATTTTCAATTATGATTTAAAAAATTTTAATGCAGTATACTGAGATAATAATGCTGTGTTATCCCTGCCAAGAAACAATTATGTGTTTTAAAGTAACTGTTAGATTAAAAGTACTCTTAGACTTCTGGTGAAGATGGTGGCACAGGGAAACATGGCTCACCTCCTCGTACAACCACATCAAAATTACAAGTAAAATATAGAATAACCATCACTCAGAACCATCAGAAATTGAATGGAAATCTGACAACTACAGAATTAAAGAAACCACACCCATCCGGACTGGTAGGAGGGATGGAGATGCAGAACTTGCTGGTCGCACACCCATGTGTGGTGGATAAAAATTCAGGAGGAATATCTAGGGAGCGAGAAGTCCCAGTTCCATGCCAGGCCCCCTAGCCCCGGGTACCAGTGCCAGGAAGATAAGTCCCCTAACTTCTGGCTGCAAAACGAGCAGGGACTGAGTCAGTGGAAGAAACTGCTGGAGTTCCAAGTAGTTCCTCTTAAAGAACCCACACACGGACTTAATCAGACTCACTCCCTCTGAGCTTGAGCACTGGGGTAGCAGCTTGAAAGGCATCAGTGGAATACAGGGAGGAACTAAAGTGTCAGGCATTAAGGCAAGAGCTGGGAGATAGCTTTCTCCCAGACAGAAAGGCAGGCAGAGGCCATTGTCCCTTTTCTGAGCCCTCCCGCCATAGAGCCACATTGCCGGCTGGTGGGTATCATTTCTGAGACTCCATCAACCTGGCTAACACCACTTGCCTTGCCCTGGAGATCACCTGAGACTCTGTCCCACCCAATTTACAGGCACACGTAAGCTGTTAACAGAGACTTTTCCATATGAATTCAGGTCTTGGCTTAGGCTTCACAACTTTCTAAATCCTCTCAAATAAGCAACAGCTGGCCTCAGTGAGCCCCTAGGCCCCATACCACTTGCTAGGTGTCCACAGGCCTGACACTAGTAGCAGCCAGCCTAGATGCAGAGCTTGGCTTTGCCTGGGAATCTCTAAGCCCAGCACAAGTAGCAATCATCTCAGATTGCTTTATAGCCAAGGCAGGATGGCTCAGGGCAAAACACATGTAAGAGCTGACCTTGCCCTGCATCACCTGGAAAACTGCAGAGCCTTTGCACCCAGTGTACAACTACAGACCATGTTGGAGGATCATCACCCTGCCCCTGCACAAGTGATCCCCCACGGAGGGTAGAGCATGGTGGTCAGTGGTCACAGCCAACTCTTGTAGCAGACTGACCTGGGTAAATACCTGCCATTGACCTGCCAACAGCAACCAAAGCTCAGCTACAGAGGAGGGTGTACTCAGCCCACACAAAGGGTGCACCTCAAATACTGAGCTTGCGTGATAGGGGAGACTGTGCCACTGAACACTACAGGACACCTACCACATTAGGCCACGCAACCAAGATAGAGAGTCATAGCAACTTAACCTAATACATAGAAACAAACACAGGGAGACTGAAAAATTGAGGAGACAGAGAAACATGGCTCAAATGAAACAACAGGTCAAAACTCCAGAAAAAGAACTAAATGAAATGGAGAAAAGCAATCTATTGGATGCAGAGTTCAAAACACTGGTTATAAGGATGCTCAAAGAACTTAATGAGGAACCAAAAGCATTAAAAAGACCCAGTCAGAAATGAAAGGCTCCCTAATTAAAATAAAGAAGAATTTACAGGGAAATAACAGTAGCGTGCATGAAGTTGAGAATCAAATTAATGATATGGAACATAAGGAAGCAAAAAACAACCAATCAGAACAATGAGAAGAATAAAGAATACCAAAAAAATGAGGATAGTATAAACAGCCTCTGGGACAACTTCAAGAGGTTCAACATTCACATCACATGGGTGCCAGAGGGAGAAGAGAAAGAGCAAGAAATCGGAAATCTATTTGAAAAAAATAACGAAAAAAGAAACTTCTCTAACGTGGCGAAGGAAATACACCTGCAAGTTCAGAAAGCACAGAGAGTCCCAATCAAGACGGATGCAAAGAGGCCCACTCCAAGACACATCATAATTAAAATGTCAAAAGTTAAAGATAAAGAGAGACTCTTAAAAGCAGCAAGAGAAAAGCAGGTAGTTACCTACAGGGGAGTTCCCATAAGGCTGTCAGCTGATTTCTCAAAAGAAACTTTGTAGGCTACAAGGGACTGGCAAGAAGTATTCAAAGTGATGAAAAGCAAGGATTTACAACCCAGATTACTCTATCCAGCAAAGCTATCATTTAGAACTGAAGGGCAGATAAAGAGCTTCCCAGACAAGAAAAAACTAAAGGAGTTCATTATTACCAAGCCATTACTATATGAAATGTTAAAGGTACTTATCTAAGAAAAAGATCAAAAGTATGAACAGTTAAATGGCAATAAATATGTATCTATCAACAATTGATCTACAAAATAAACTAAGCAAACAAGCAGAACAGAAAGAGAATCATAGATATGGAGATCATTAGGATGGTGGTCAGTGGTGACTGCAGTCTGGGGAAAAAGAGGGGAAATGATAGGATTAAGAAGTACAAATTGGTAGGTACAGAATAGTCAGGGAGATGTTAAGAGCAAGCATAGGAAGTGGAGTGGCCAAAGAACTTATATGCATGACCCAGGGACATGAACAAAGGAGGAGGGATCACCAGAGGGAGTTAGGGGGTGCTGGGTAGAGGGGGCCAAAGGGGGAACAATTGGGACAACTTTAATAGCATAATCAATAAAAAAGTACTCTTTTGATTCTTAAAGGAAGTATTTGAGTGATTTCCAAACTCAAAAACCTCCAGAAGGAGGGAGATTTGTTTGTCAGTTTGTTTTTTGTTTGTTTTTAGTTACTTGAATGACTGACTTTCTCCTTGAAAAGCAGGGGTGCAGAAATCAAAGGCCTGATTGTGCTGAATCCTTCTCCTTTCATCATTATTCAGACTAGTTCCCAGCATGCTAAAGTCCAAAGGAAAGTATCCAAGCAGTTTAAAAATGAGACTAAAGAGCTTACTCAGCACCCTGCTTGCAGTAGTGTTGCTTGCTTTCATCTGTACAAGTCTTTTATTACATAATAATCTTAGATTCCTGGGAATATTTTCAGAACATAGGAAGCACCTCCTTAACCTAGTTATGATGAAAAATGTTTTTCATTACTATCCCCTCTCTTCCAGGTCCCCTGAAAAAAACAGATTTTTAGGCAAAATGAGTCCTGGGGAAGAATTTTACAGAAGCGCAGCTGGTTTGTTGTTGTTGTTGTTCACTTTTAGGTGGTGGTGGTGGGGAAAGGGCAGCTGTCCTCCTTGGTGAGAATGGGTAATTTTAGAATAAAACTGGCCCTTGCTGCCTACCTACTCAGGACTGATGAGGCTATTCACTCTAGGGGAACAGGCAATGATTTTTTTTCCCCTTTAGTTCTGTTTCAGCATCTAGGAGAGTGAGAGTGTGTTGCAGCAATCTATATGAAAGAATGTTTCTTGATTTTCCAATTAAAAAGACTCCATAGAGCTGAGGCACAAATAAGAGTACAGAGGGACACTTGATATGTAAATCCAATCACAAAAGGCAGGGCTTTCTAAGGATTATATCTACCTTTTCACAGGTGAAGTAGAAAAAGGGATTCTGGAGCACATATCCCAGAATAATCCCAAAGCAGAACCCTTCGCTCGGGTTACCTAGGTTTCCTTGACAGGTGCACAGGCAGAGAAGGCAGTTGGTCCTTGAGGTAGCCTTTACTTGGGGAATTAGCACAATGATGTCCACGCTTACGGCGATCCAGGTGACCCTGAGCA